GAAGGGGCAAAGAATAAGAGGGGGGTAGATGAGGTGGGCATGTGAGTCTCTGAGCCCCTTCCCCTGACAAGGGACCATCTCAGGCCAGCTCTGGAGGGGTAACCTTGGGACAGTGCTCAATGGGGTATCTGGAGGGAGGTGGGGACCTCATGATCAGGATGGGGGTGGGGTACTGAGGCTGAGGACCTGACTTTCTGAGGCTGGATGTTGTAATCCTGGTTTACAAACTTTTGGCCTCATTCCCTCCTGTTGCTTGTGGCATTTCTCTGCCCTTTCACTTCCCAACACGCTGGTGTACATGCACACACACACAGACCGGAATTCCCGCTGGCTATCTCAGGACAACAACTCCAGTGGGATTCTGAGGTGGGAGGAAGCTGGAGGACAGTCTTCTTTTTCATGTCCCTCTTGGCATTCTCAAAGCAGATCCCCAGGGCTCTCCTTGGGACCTGATGCCTGGAGCTGAGCTGACCACAGGAGCCCTGGGACTTGGGACTGAGTAAGGTAAGCCGGAGGTGGAGGAGCTGCCTCAGGGGAGCTGAAGGAGTTGGATCTGGGAGGAAATACTTGGTAGATGTGTGTGGTTGAGGTGGGAAGCAGAGCTAGGGAAACTGAGGCCAGAGGAAAATTCTGATGTTCAGGATTCCTAGGACAAGGGGTCAGCCCAGCTCCCTCCTCACCACCCACAGCATCAGAGTTGCTCAGGGATAAAAGCCTGTGTGGCTGAAGAGTCCATAGATGAGCTGGCCACAAGGAGTGGGTTAAAGAGGGGGTGATCACCTGACTGAGAGGGAGGAGGAAGCAGGCAGTGCCCAGTGAGGTGGAAAGGAAGAGTGGACAGGAGTATCCTCAGGGCATTCCTGAAGGCCCTTGATTTGCCATTAATGATCCAGATGAGGGGCTCCTGCCTGCTGCCTGCCATGTGCAAGTGACTGGGAGCCAGTCTTCCAAGAGGAAGCTGCCCTGACTCAGGGATGGTGGGGCCTGGGCATGCCAAGAGGTCAATGAGGGAGCTGAGAGGAGATGTGGGTGGCCAACAGCTGAGCCAAGCAGCCCACGGGGTGTGAAGGACTACGGACGGGAGTTAGGTTTTGGTGCCGTGCACACAGGTATGTGTGTGCAAAGGGACGTGACGGGAAATGGCACCAGTGTTTGTGTGGGAATGGGAATTGGTATGTGGGTGTGGGCTGAACAGGGGTCGGGGCGTCCTGTCTCCCCTGTGTTCGGGGACTGGGTCAGTCCTGTCCTTGTTTGGGCAGTTAAAGAAGACTGAGGTAGGATCCCAGCAGCCATTGGGAACAGCATTTCTACACTTTTCTGCTCCTCGGCTAGACTCTGGCCAGCTCCTGCAAACAGTGTTAACTGTGAACTTCCAGTCTCTTAAGGATTCCCTCAATGGGCAACACCCAGCCCAGAGTGGGTACTGATGTCTTTGCTTCTAGAGGGCACTCATGTATGGTGAGGACCATGCCATGCCCCCATACCCTGTCCCAGCTTAGCATAGCTGGTGGGAAGTCTGGGGAGGTGATCCTAGTGGCTAAAGGTAACAAAGCTGGGGTAGACCCTTGGGCAAGAAGAGATCTCCAGAAGTCGTCTTGACTGTGGGCAATTATTCCTAGCAAATAGGCTAGGGGTAGAGGAACAAAGAGAGAGTAGAGGGAGGGTGGTAAGAGGATGGGGTTATTCTTTTGACGTTTAAAAGTAACCCCAAAAGGAGAGCTCTGTACAGCTTGTTTTTATGTCTAATGTCCTCCAGGACATTTCTTCCCTGAGTCTAACTTAAATCTCTCTTGCTGCAATTTATGGCTGTTTCCCCTTGGCTTGTCATGGCTCTGGGCCAGCTTTCTCTTGTCTCTTGCTCTTGCTTTCATTCTGCCATTCCTGTTTTTCATTCTTACTGATAAATTATGCTCCTCCCAACTAGGCTTCCCCCACCCCCCCAACATATCACATCAGTGTTAGTTCATGTTATTTTTTTTCTCTCCTCCTCCATCCCTGATACAACCTAAATCCTGGGCTCAAACTGGGTTCTGTGATTCACTTCCCTGCCTCACTCTTTTCTGATTCTCTTCCCTGAGCCTCCCTCTCTCTCCTTCACTCCTTTTCCCCACCAGATCTCACCTCCTCCAACTGTTGAGAACACCTTAGCCTTGAAATAGTTGCCTCTGGCCTGGGAACAGAAGGGCTTGTGTCTGACCACTCTCTTGGGGACCCTTGGGTTTGGGGTTTGGCCTGAAATGAGCTACCCTCTGGCTTGGCAAACAAAAGCAATAATCTCTCCCTGTACTCAATGGGGGAGTTCTGGTGGTGTAGTCCCTAAGGCATTTGACTGCCAACCAGCAGGCTGGCAGCTCAAACCCACCAGCCGCTCCTCGGAAGGAAGGTTGGGCAATCTATTTCCGTAGTGATACTGCCTGGGAAACCCAAGAAGGGGTCACTATGAGTTGGATCTGACTCGACAGCAGTGAGTTTGGTTTGGTTTTTTGGTACTCAATGGACCTCATTTTGATTCTCTCAATGCCCTTGTTAGGAGTCTTAGTGATGCAATGCTTAAAGGTCGGTGGTTCAAACCCACCAGTGGCTCTGCAGGGGACAGAGGTGTGTGTTAAACCTGGCAATCAATCTGTTCCGGTAACGACTACAGCTTTGGAAATCCTATGGGGGGCTAGTTCTACTTTGTCCTATAAGGTTGCTATGAGTCAGAATCGACTTGGTGGCCCATTGCAATAAATGCCCTCATTGAGCAGGAGTCATTCTCTATTCCAGGAAGACTTAAAGCCCAGAGAGGAGTGTGATTTGCCTAAGGTCACACAGCAAGTTAGAGATCCTGTTCCACCATTTACTGTCTTGGTAAGTGCATCCAACCCATTCAGGAGTAGCTTTACTGAGCACCTAAGTGCTATTGTTCCTTAATCTCTCTGAGCTTCATTTTCTCATTTTTATAACATGGGGCTAAAAAAAAGGATGGAATTTAATAATGTATGTAAAGATGTGTATGTTTTTAGCATATACCAATATTAACCTTTCTTATGATTATTGGCTTGATCTGGGCTAGAACTTGGGTTTCCTGTCTGGTACTTCTTTATCTATGTTCTTTAGTTCATTTATTCATTCATTCATTTATTTAATAATGATTCAGGGGCCATTCCTCAGAGTGCCTCAGCCCCCATTCTGTGGCAATGTCAACTTTTGCATTCAGGTATCATCAACTTTTCCCAGGAGGCCAAGCTCCCTGTTCTTTTAACCTATGGCTCTGGTTCTTCAAGCCCCCTGGGGTCTGGTAACTTACCCCCACCTGGAGCTCTCTTCCTTTCTTTCCTCTCTTCTCTCTTCTTCTCCCTCTGTCCAAGGCTCGAGGCCTTTGCTGCCTACTGGTAGCCTCTCTCCTCATCTTCCTTCTGGGCTGAGCTCACAGTGAAGCCTCTGAGTAGGTCCCAGTACCTGAATTTCACCCTTACACGCTTTCCATTCCTGGGATAACCTGTACCCTCTAAGTCACCTTCAAAAATTTCCATAACCTCAGATGGCTCCTGCCCACGCCTTTCTGACTGACTTGGGCTTGGGTTGTTGCCTGGACTAAAAGGACCAACAAATAAACACAGACTCTTCCTTAATAAAAAGAATCCCTTGTATTTCTCTAGAGCCTCAGAGAAGCATGGAGCACTTGGTAGACTCTGGTCACTTTGGTTCACCCAACGCCCCCCGGAGGTGAAGGGTGGTGGGACAAGTACTTCCTCCTGACAGCTCACTGGACATAAAGGCAGAGGTGGCCTCAGGGTGTGTTGTTTGTGTGTGGGTGTGTGGGTGTGGGTGGGAGGGGAGGGAAGGCAAACATGGGCTGGAGATATTTGACTGTGCACGAATTTATTCCTTGGCAGCTGACAAACAGACAATGAGGTCTGGCTCTTGAGAGGGACAGATTAAAATTTAGAGTGACTCACGTCATTTTTCTGGAAGTCCAGGGAGCTTTAGGATTGCTAAGAGTTGGGAAGGGCAGTGACTTGCCGAGATGGGCTTCCCTCCTGTGTGGGAACAACTTTGATGTGGAGATGACTACCACCCAAGTGAGACTCGCTCTGGTGACCCAGTCTGCCACCAGGACCCTCCGTCTGTTCTCAGGGCAGAGGCAGACCTCAGAGAAAAGGAACCCGGGTTTCCTCGAAGGCCCACATTTAGTCCTGGCACCAATCCCAGTCCTCATCTGGCCTTGCTCAGAGGCCCCCACCTTCTCCTTCCCTCCCAATCAGAAGCCCAGAGCTAGCTGGCTCCCATATTTACCCTGAGGAAATCGATCACTCTAGCACAGGATGAGCATGCAACTAGCCAGGGGAGGACTGTGCAGTCACCTCAGTCACACTTGTCCTTTGACCCGCTGTCACCTCTAGAAGCCTTTGATCCCTTCTGGCCCAGAGGCCAGAAGCTGGACTGGTGTCAGTCACCAGGACGCTGATGAACTGGGACAGTTGGACCAGCTGGCATGATGACTGGCTGAAAAGACAATAAGAGACTTGAAATAAAAGGCCCAAACCTGGGTTTTAATCCTAGTTCTACTCTAGGCCTGAATGAGCAAGTCATGTCATCCCTTATGCCCTGGATTTTCCCAACCACAAAATAGGAAGACCAAGATTTGTCTATTTGCTCACAGGGTCATGAGGGCAAAGTATAACTTTGGATGCAAATGCTGTTGAGAGCTTGGGAAGAAGAGCAATATTCCAACACCAACAATCCAAGTAAAGTAAGCAGGTACGGTGGGCCATGAGTTGGGGTTTGACAGCTCGTTCGTTCTCCTTCCACCAGACTTTGCCTCTCTCGTCCTCCTGCCCCACCTCCAGCTCCACGGCCTCCCAGCCCGTTGCATGGCTATGGATGGAAAAGTGGCAGCCCATGAGGATGGGGCTCCTGTGGTCTCCTGGGTCCCTGAGGAGGGAGAGAAGTTGGACCAGGAAGGCGAGGACCAGGGGAAGGATCGGGGCCAATGGACCAACAAGATGGAATTTGTGCTCTCGGTGGCCGGGGAGATCATTGGGCTGGGCAATGTCTGGAGGTTTCCCTATCTCTGCTACAAAAATGGAGGTGGTGAGTTCACTCTGAAGTAGGCATGGTGGGGAGCGCTGTGCCCTGGCAGTGAGTAGTGCCTATCTGGGCCCTCCTGCCTGGGCAGTGTAGTAAAATGCAAGGAAGACTGGAGTGGAATTAGAGGACTTAAATTTGAGTTCCAGCTCCACTACTAGCCTCAGTCTCCCTCCCTGCGTAATGGGGATGATATTTCACCAGGCTACAATGAAGATTAAATGAAGCCATGAGCAGAAAAAAGGAATCTGCATTTTTTATTTTATATATTTTTTTAATTGTGATTTGGGTAAAATTTATGGAGCAAATTCATTTTCCATTCAATAGTTTATGCATATTTTGTTTCATGACATTGATTGCAATCCCTGTAATGTAACAGCTCTCTTCCCACTTCCTCCCTCTGGTTACATTTTCCCTGTGTCCTTCTTTACTACACCTTCTTGACCTCTGAGTTACCTCCCTGTGCAAATTCTGCCCTTCTAATTTCCCATGGTTGATTTCTAAGGAGTGTACCTATCTGCTATAAATGTTTACTTTATACACTTATTTAGTTTGGCTAGATGCCATAGGAGTGAATTCAATTGTGGGCCTGAAGGGTAACTAGGAGCCATTGTCTCAGGGGTTTCACCAGTCTCTATCAGACCAGTAAGCCTGATCTTTTTTATGATCTTGAGTTTTGTTCCACATTTTTTTCCCACTCTATCCAGGATCTCCTATTTTGATCACTTTCTGAGTGGTTGACAGTGATAGACTGGTACCATCACCTTCTTCTGGTCTTTGGGTCATGTAGGTTGAGTTTCTCATGATCCACTAGTTCCTTAGACTAATTATTTCCATGCATCTTTGATTTTCTTCATTCTTCTTTGCTTCGGATGAGGAGAGACCAATTGTTGCATCCTAGATGGCAGCTTGCAAACTTTTAAGGCCCCAGTCACTACTCACCAAAATAGGATGTAGAACAATGCTTTTGTATAGTATGTTATGCCAGTTGAGCTTGATGTTCCCCATGACCATGGTGCCAAGCCTGTGAGCCCAGTGACTCACTTCCTCAGGGTGTTTGGTTGTGGCTAAGAAGTCATCATAACTTTGCCCCCTGATAGCTCTATTATATATATATATATGAACATTTTTATATCACATACAAATATGTATGTAGAAATATGATCTGCCAGACTTATATATGGTCATGGGTATATTTTTTTTGCCTACCCATACCTGATCATTTAGCCTGCCTACCTATGTATCCACTTGTAGATTAATGTTTGTTATTACTGACTGTGCAGTATTGTGTATGTAAAAGTGTTTACTTTTGTTGTTTGTACGTCTTATGCGCCTCTCCATGTCTTCCCTTTCCTTTGTATTATTGTGCTGGCCACTCACTTTTGGTATATTGAAGGAGGCTACACTTTTAATAAGCTCCTTTGTTGTTCTATGCAAATGTCAGTTGTTGACAGAATTTATTCTTTTGCTCAAGTAATATTATTGCAGGCCTATTTTGTGCCAGCCACTGTTCTAGGCATAAAACAGAACATATTCTGTGTGTGATATTCTAGTAGGGGAAAAGAGACGTTAGACCAATAAGTAAAACATGTGGTATGTTAAGTGGGGAGGAGTAGGGTGTTGAGCAGTGAAGCTGGGCAAAGGGGTAGAATTTGAGGGAAAAGGAGTTTGAAATGTGAAATAAGGTGGCAAGGAAAGTTCTCACTAAGAAATTGACGTTTGAGCACAGACCTGAAAGAGGTGAAGGAGTGAGTCTTGTGAATGGTTAACAGGGAGAACAGCATTCCAAATAGAGAGAAGAGCAAGTACAAAGGCCCTGTGGTGAAAGAGCAAGGCATGTTGAGGAACAGCAAAGAGGCAAGTATGGCTGGAGCTGGATTAGCAAAATGGAGAATAGCAGGCAATGAGATCAGAGAGGCAATGGGTCAGATCTTGTCAATACGGTGGCACAGTGGTTAAAACATTTGGTTGCTAACTAAAAGGTCAGGGGTTTGAACCCATTACCTGCTCTGCAACAGAAAGATGAAGCAGTCTGCTTCCATAAAGATTTAGAGCTTCAGAAACCCTATGAAGCAGTTCTACTCTGTCTTGTAGCGTCACTACAAGTCAGAATCAACTAGATGGCAATGAGTTTGGTTTTGGTTTATATATATGATTATATGATTTTAATTTAAAGAAACATAGTTTTATTATATTTAATCATTTGTAGTAAAAATTAGAAGGATCATGGCAGGGAATGGCCAGATTCATTCTTTTGAACAATTTTCAATGATATTTTTTATACACACAGGTTTGTGCAATCATTACCACAACCTATTTTAGAAAATTTTCATCACCCCAAAAGAAACCCTGTACCATTTAGCAGTCTCTCCCCATTCCACCCACTCCCGCAGCTCCTGGCAACCACTCCAATCTCCTTTCTGTCTCAATAGATTTGCCTGTTATGGACATTTCAAATGTCCTGTTATGGACATTTCACAATATGATTTCATATTATTTTCATTGGCCAGATTCATTTTTGCCTTTTGAAAGTATCTCTGTTCTTCATGTGGAGATGATATATGTGTATTATAAATATTATAAACATCCCAAAAATGTAAAAAAGAAGAAAAACTCCTATCTAGAGATAATCATTATTTAGAAAAATCCTACTAAGCACTATTTATATATATTTTGAGAAATATATATAAGGAGCTCTGGTAGCGTAGTGCCTAAGGCACTTGACTGCTAACCAGAAGGCTGGCAGTTCAAACCCACCAGCCACTCCTC